ATTAGTGTATTTGTTGAAAGGGAGAAAAAATATGGGAGAGTTACAAGTAGAATATACTGTTTTCTGGACCCTCTTGCAAGATTACATGAATGAGGCAGTGCCATTGCACAATAAAACCCCTGAGAATACCCTCTGTTTCTTCATTTAGACTTTAGTCAAAACCAAAGGGACCAGTATAATATCCATCAGAGTCTAGAAAATTAAAACAAATTTTGATGTCTGGAATAAGTTGCTATAGTGTTTAAGAACCACATCCTAACGTGACGCAAGCATCTGCGGTGTTCTATCTGCACTTCATGGAGTCCCGCACTGCAGTGCTCTGGTCTTAATGCAATGGAGAATGGGAAGACAGGCTCTGAAACCTAAATCAGACACTTTGGCTTTTTGCCTGGGTCGGCATAGTGGCCTTCTTCTTGTTCCCACTGCACCATTCTCTTTAGTGAGCTGGATGAGAGCCAAACTTTTTGATGGACATTAATGATCAGATGTTGTGCTGCTGAGCCTCTTGTGAGAACTCTGCTTGGTGCCTCCCCTCTCATCATCACTGCCCCTTTTCATCTCTTTTGCTTCACCAGCTTTGGCACTGGAGTGCATGTTCAAAGTGTTGATATGAACAGAAGGCTCTCTTACCATCACAAAACAACTGTCAATCTTCAGAAGGTGAAGGAGGAACTTTGGAACATTCCAAAAGAGCTTTTAAAAAGCAACAACGACTCCAAAAGCACTCTAAAACTGTAACTATAAAGGATAGGTGGTGTTTTTATGCATTCAAACTGCTCAGTAAGCTGTGATCCTAAGTACTTGATTTCACTGAGGTTTTCCAGCTAAGGATATGTTCAGGATAAGGATTTGAGGCCACAGTCTTGCATGTAGTTAAAGCCAGCTTTGAACTGCCTGATTCCTGTGAGCATTGTGTATGCATCATCATGCACTAAAATACAGAATATGCTTTTTCTTGGATTTGCCAATAAAAGCTTGTATGTGTTTTTCCACACACTCATGTGATAAACCATGGGATGGGATGTGCACTCTCTCTCTCTCTTTCCGTATATATCTATATCTATATCTCAATAGGTAGACGGATAGATAAAGTGGGCTTTTCTAAGCCCTTTCATTGCTTCTAGATGAACCTTTATCATTCATTCATTCACCTGGCCACATTCATGGAAGGGGTTTTTTTGCGGGGGGGGGGGTCCAAACAACATTTTTGGCTTCTAACATTCCTGTAACATCCCATCTCTTCTTCTATCATTTTATTTCCACACACATTAAAAAAAAGAAAACCTGCTATGAAGAAATAGATAGAGGGGCTGCATTTTTGATTGGTAGCAGTAGGAGTTCTCCATCTAGAAGGATCCTGGGTCATCTTGACCAAAGAATGCTG